GGCCCATGATTGGTCCTAAGGACTGGTCCGAGCCTTGAGAAATCTCATGGGCCCAAGATTAGTCCCTGATGATTTGGGCCTAGACATTGAGGGCCTAGTCCGGAGCCAGAATCACCTGGGCACGAGCCTTTCCCATCTCTAGTTTTGGACAAATGATTGATCGTATTATTATTGTTACAATTCTTAAATGTTAAAATTAGGGGTGAAAAAAACCGGTTAACCGAAAGCTTGAATCGAACCGGTTTTCGATTCAAGAAAATAATTGAACTGAAACCGGACCGGTTTCGGTTAAATTATTTTCTTGAATCGAAAATCGGTTCCCGATTTCGGTTAAAAACCGGTTATGAACCGAACCGAAAATTTGGTTCGGTTAACCGGTTAAAGCGCTTATATATTAGGGTGCATTTTTTTGGCCCAATTATGAATTATGGGCTGCTTTTTTCGGCCTAATTCGGTCACACTCCAGTTTGACCCATTTTTTTTTCTAGTTTTTTTTTTTTTTTTACTTGAATTAAAATTATGCTTTACCAAACCGAAGAAGAAGAAGAAGGAGGCTGAAGTCAATCATGGTGTTCTCTTCTTGACTGTTATCCAAATCTAAACAGAAAAGCAGTGAAAGAGAAGAAATGGAGATACGAAAAAGAAAAAAAAACAGAAAAGTGAAAGGAGAAGAAGACAGAAAAAGAAAAGGAAAAGTGGAGAAGGAGACAAGAGAAGAAGACGAAAAAGAAAAAGAAATTGGAGAAGGAGAGGAAGAGAAAAGACGAAAATGAGAAGAAAAACTGAAAAAAGAAAGAGAAAGCAGTGAAAGGAGAAAGAAGACGAAGAAAGAGAAAATCGTGAAAGGAGAAAGAAGACGAAAGAAAAAGTACTTGTGTGGAGAATCAAACCCAAGAAAATACAGAGAGAAGCAGGCTGCAGTTCTACGTCCCTAACACCAAGAAAAAGTGGGGGAAAAAAATAAGGGATATTTTTATTTTTTTATTTTTTTTAAAACCAATTTGGATTAACCGGTTTAATATTATCCTTAAATCGTTAGCTGAACTAGAAATTCGATTTAATTATTTTTGAAAATCGAAACCGAGCCCATTAATATTAAAAACCGGTTTTTCGATCTGATTTTTCGGTTCGGTTCAGTTTTTGGTTTTTTTTTTCAGTCCTAGTTAAAATGATTGATGAAAATGACTGAAGGTTCATTTACTTTTTTTTTTTTTTTAACATTGTTTTAATTTATTCCAAAAATTAGAGAGAAAAAAATGTTTTTCTATCAAACCTTATTGGGATAGTAACTAACTTCTATTTTATTGATTATCATAATAGTTGATTTGAGTATACCCAGCAATATATAAATATTGTTGATGCAGGTTTTCGGCACCAACCAATTGTCACGTGGGTGACACTATTTGATGAATTTAATGCACGTAACAATAGATGTGTCAAGTGAAATAAATGAAAAGAGGTTTTTAAAGTGGTTCGGATGCTAAGGTAGCAAGTCCTACGTCCACTGATTTTGTATTGATGTTGGTGTGGGTCAGGTCGCGAAGCGGACTGACGTACATAAGAGTTAATAAAAGTAATATGTTTTGGCTTTTACAAGAGAGAGAGTTGTTTTCTGTAATGAATGGCCGAATCCCCTTAATGGAGAGATCTTCTTCATTTTATATCAAATTGAAGCGTGTAATCATCATTAAATCTATGGGTTGGTGTGACTGTCAGGATATGATTCGGCTTCACGTCCCGTTTCCCTTTTTCCAAGCTGACTTTGCACGACTTGCTGTAGAGAAATGGACGCGTGTGAGCTCCATGTTCATTTGCAGGTCTGACGTGCGCACATTGTCCTGACGGGGGCAGGTTACTCCTGACGTGCGCACATTGTCCTGACGGGGGCAGGTTACTCCTGACGTGACTTTCCCACGTCAGCCCTTTATTTTCCCGTGCATAACAGAAGCCCCCTAGTTTTTAAGGTTTGTGGAACGAGCCTTGGAAACTAAGTCACACTGAAGGTTCTGGTCGTTCCGACCTGGATGGGGTGAGCTCGGCTCAAGGCTCGCAGCGAACACGATCTCGCGTGATTCTTTGCCTAAGCGACCTGACAATCTTCATCCTAGCGACCTGGATTTGACGGACGCTCCTTTCTGTACCTTTTAGGTTCAACGAACCTGGTTCTGCGCTGTCAGGCGTTCTGTAGGAGTGACAGCGCTTGTCTGACACATTAAATGCGCGGTATGATGACCCGATGCCGTTTTGACAACATTAACTGCATGGCATATTTGAAACGGCAACCCTTATTGCCGCATTTAATGCGACGTGGGTTTTGAGTTGACGCCCCTCTTCACGGCATTTAATGCGACGTGGGGCGCATTTAATGCGGGGAGAGAGGGAACTGCCGTTTCGGTTCCAAGGGGTGGTAACCGTCGATTCGCTATCCATATAAAAACTTGGCATTCTTCAGATGAGGCCACTGAGATTTCTTTCGCTTCGAGTGATAAACCTTCGCAAACCCGGAATCATTCTCTCCTGATCGACGCTTTTTAGGCAACCAGGACGAGTTTCGGCCCCGGCTCCATATTCTACAGAGTAAGATTCTCTTCTTTTTTTTTTTTTTTTTTTTTTTTTTTTTTTTTGCGGTTTGGTTGATCCACGGCGTGGGGTCTTCCGGTGTTTCACCGGAGTCGCGACGCCGCTATTGGTTTCGAGCCGTGGATGGCGGCTTGAACCACTGCTAGGTTTTAAGCATTTGTCCCTTGCCGCCGCACGGGACAAACACAAAGGCCTAAATGACCGTGTCTGTCGATGTTGCAGACTGAAATGGAACCGTCAACATCCAAGCCCGAGGACGGAGCCAGCTCGTCCTCGCGGGGAGCTCCTGAGGACGCAGCTCTTGATGTCTACTCGGTTCTCACCTCCGAGGAATATGCTAGAATAAAGAGGCAGTTCGATATCCGCTCGGAGGTGTTCCTCGACTACGCTAGGCCGTCACGGCGCCCGGTTGATGGCCTTGCCGCGATCTCTGAAGAGATCTTTAAGGGTGGAGGGAGGGTTCCCTTCCATCCTTTCATCAGGTCGGTCCTGGATCATTTCGGGATCGCACCGATGCAGTTGACGCCAAACGCGTATGTCATTACTGTTGCGATGTACATCCCGTGCTGCGAAAACGACTTGGGAGAGCCTTCAGCAGTGGAGCTCGGTATTGCCTACTACCTGAAGAAGAGTAGGGATAAGGACTCGTACTATCTGTCTCGGCGACCTACTGTTGCCGCGGGGATACACAACTATCCCAGCAATGCGGGGGCCTACGAGACAAAGTTTTTCTTTTTCTGTTATACCGGTCACTGCCATTTTCAGGATCCAAGTAGGTTTCTCCTCACTGGATTCGTTATTTGCTCGCACGATCATTAGTAACGACCTGTTTCTTTTGCAGTTAACAGAACGACCAGCCAAAACCTACTCGCTGACCCAAGCAAGCTCGTATCTTTCGGGGTATTGGACGAGGAACAACGGGACGCGAGGAAGCCCGTGACAACCGCGAACCTGCGAAAGTACGGTTTTTTCACCGACAAGGCGTCGTTGGAACCTCTAGAAGGTAAGTTATGCTGATTTCTTTCTGGTCGTAGAGTAAATTCCCTTTCTGACGAGCTTGAATGCAGAGACCATGCCCCCAAAGGAGTCTGGGCAGTCCCACCGAGCTCCATTTGTTTTCCCTCGCTCGAGGAGTGAGAGGGCGGCCGAAGTTGCCCGTGCCATTCCGGCACAACCGCTGCGAGCTTCTGCGCCTTCGCAGCCCCGTCCTGCACAAGAGGCGACCAGGACAGAACAGGTCGCTCGGGCGCCGACTGCTCGCCCCAAGCGTAAGGCTCCGGCCCAAAGGTCCAAGAAGAGGAAACAGGTCTAGGCCGAAGAGTCTGAAACTGAATCTGAGGAGGAACCTCTGAGGACGCGCCAAGAGTCCAGGAGGTCGGGCAAAGAGCCTGCGGTAACTGGCGACAAGGCAAAGGACGCGGCTGTTCTGGACTTGTTGGGGAGTCTGCCCGAGCACTTGCAGCCAATTGTTTATGGCCTGCTGGAGTGCGAGCTTTCGGAGTCGTACGGCGAGTTTGCAGACACGGGCGACGACCTGATGGCCACGTCGTTCCAGCATCTGAGCAAGGTAAGCCAGCCGTACTTGAAATTTCATTTTGGTCTATTTCTAACTCATATAATGCTCGCAGGGGTTGCTTGCGATGAGGATGTCCATGGAGAAGACGCGGCTGGGGGCCGCAAAGGGGACGAGCGACCTGCAAGAGGAGGTCGCGAAGCTGAAGCAAAGTTTGGAGTCCGCTGAGGCGGAGAGAACCCAAGCGTTCGATGTAGCGAATAGGTATCTGAACCAAAAGGACGCTGCTCAGCGAACAGTGGACTTCCAGAGGGCGGAGCTCGATCGTCGTGCTGAGGAAGTTAGAGAACTTCAAAGGACAACCGCCAGGTTCTCTAAGGAGGTCGGAGAAAAGGACCAGGAGCTTCAGGTGACCTTCGAGCGGGCCCAGCGAGCTGAAGAGGATAGGCAGGCCTTCGAGCAGGAAAGGCTAGCCCTTGAGACCGAGCTCTAGGAGAGCCGGGCAAGAGTCGCTTCTCTGACTGATGAAATGCAGAATCAGTCCGAGGAAATGGAGGAGAAGGCCGCGGACTGGGCTATCGGGTCCATCTATACCCTACGAGCTAGGAACCTGAACTTGGACACATTCGACCTCCCGGAGAGTTGGCAGGCGACCTTGCAAGTCATGGCCGAGGAGGACGACCAGGCTGCCGCGGCCGCCCAAGGACCCGACCAGGCAGGCGGCTCTGGCTCGAAGGATCTTCCCGACCAGCCTTAGGCGAAATGAATCGTCCTTATTGTAATCGGGTTTTCGGACTCTTTCTGTTTATAAATGAATGAAATCTTTTCGATTTACAGTTCGCTCTTTTCGTATATTATGTGCGCGATTTACAATTTGCGATTTACATAGGCAATTGTTTACTAATTTTTACATGCGAACAGAACACATACGAGCTGTTTCGAGTGAATAAAGTAATACTTAAAAAGAAATTAACAAAATGAGAACTGAGTTCAGGATTATTGATAGTACGGCCGGAGGTGCTCGGCATTCCAAGCTCGGGGTACTTTGGAGCTATTCAATCTTTTGAGATGATAGGTCCCCGGTCTGATTACTTTGTCGACCCGGTATGGACCTTCCCAGTTAGGCCCTAGTACCCCCGCACTTGGCTCTCTGGTTCCAAGGAGAACTTCCTTTAGCACAAGATCTCCGACCTGGAAGTCTCTTCGCTTGACCTTTGAGTCGAAGAATCTTTTTGCTCGCTGTTGGTAGGCCGCTATCCTTAGCGAAGCCTTGTTGCGGTGTTCTTCGACCAGATCCAAACTTGCTCTCATTAGTGCCTCGTTTCCGTCCTCATTGTACAAGTCCCTCCGAAGAGACCCAGTTCCGACCTCTACAGGGATCATTGCTTCACAGCCGTAGGCTATCGAAAATGGAGTTTCCGAGGTGGAGGTCCTTGGAGTTGTCCTGTATGCCCACAAGACTTCGGGGAGGTCGTCAGCCCAATTTCCTTTGGCTGCCCCGAGCTTGGCTTTCAGAGTGTGCTTGATGGTCTTGTTGACTGCTTCAACTTGGCCATTCGCCTGCGGTCTGACGACTGAGGCAAATTTTTTATGGATGCCCAGCTCGTCGCAGAACTGCTTGAACTCCTCATTATCGAATTGTTTTCCATTGTCTGAGATAAGGGTGTGAGGAATTCCGTAGCGGCACACTATATTCTTGAAAACGAAGTCCTTTAGCTTTCTGGTCGTGATCGCGGCTAACGGCTCGGCTTCGACCCATTTTGTGAAGTAGTCTACCGTGACCACGACATACTTGACCCCTCCCTTTCCAACCGGCATGGGGCCGATGAGGTCGATTCCCCACATGGAAAACGGCCATGGGCTAGACATAGTGATCAGCTCGTGAGATGGGGCTCGCGGGATGTTCGCGAACTGCTGATACTTGTTGCATCTCTTGACAAAGTTGTGTGCATCCTCCTAGATTCGGGGCCAATAGTATCCCTGGCGCACAATCTTGTTTGCAAGAGACCGAGCTGCTGTGTGGTTACCGCAGATCCCCTCATGATGTAGTCTGCTTCTTCGCTGGTCACACATCGGAGGAGCGGGGCACTGAATCCTCTCCTGTACAGCTGATCCCCGATGAGCGTGAAGCGAGCAGACCTTACTCGTAGGACCCTCGCCTCGACTTTGTCGCTGGGCAAGGTCCCATCCTTGAGGTACTGTACAATGGGAGTCATCCAGGAATCTGGCTGAACCTCGTTCACGGCCTGTTCGGCAGAGCTAATAGTCGGAGCATTGACAAAACGAACAGGAATGTTATCGGGAGCCTCTGAATCTAGTGACGAGGCAATCTTTGCCAAGGCGTCCGCTATTGAGTTGCTCTCCCTGGGAATCTGAGCGATCTCAAAGTGCTTAAACGACCCCAAAGAGACCTTAGCTTCTTTCAGGTAGCGGACCATGTTCTCTTCCTTAGCTTGGTACTCCCCTAGGATCTGGTTGACGACCAGCATAGAGTCGCTATAAATACTGATCGCGGTTGCACCCATTTCTTTGGCGAGTCGCAACCCGGCGAGCAGAGCTTCGTACTCGGACTCATTGTTGGTCGCTTTAAACCCGAACCGGAGAATACCATGGATTCGGACCCCCTCGGGACTCACCAGGAGAAGACCCGCACCGGCTCTTTTCCTGTTCGATGACTCGTCGACGTAGAGGTTCCATGTCGACAGGTTCTGGATAGTTTCTTGCCCGACTTCGCTAGACTGTTGCTCGCTTGGGAGATAGGAAAATTCCGAGATGAAGTCTGCAACAGCCTGCCCTTTGATAGTCGACCTGGGCGTGTACCTTAAGTCGAACTGGCTCAACTCCATGGCCCATTTGAGCAGTTTACCCGAGGCCTCCGGTTTCTGGAGGACCTGCCTGAGNATTTTTAGAGCAACTTTCCCTTTTCAATGGAATCAAAAGAGGAGTAAAGGGAAAAATCACACTATCCTGCAACAAGTTGTTAGCCTCCGGGATGCTTTTTTCCTCAACCCCAAAAAGATTTGCAATTGATCCAAAAGAGTCACCCCATGTCACCATATAAGCCAGCAACGAGCTCACGCCATTCCCCGTCTGGTTAGCGCTCGGACAGGCGCATCGCAGCGAAACAGTTAGCTGCAAACCAGGCTCAAGACTCAGTTCATCATAATAATTCTGCCCCATGAGAGCCTGGCAAGTAGTGAGGCCTTGGTAAGTGTTATTGGCGATTGATAAATATGTCTCATTGCTTCTTATCGTATAAGGCGTGTTGTGCTGGTAAATGCTACCTGAACTGGAGGAACAAGAAACAGGAATAATTACTAATTTACCAGGCGGGATCGTGTCGTTATTCGACGATATGTTGTTGATCGAAGCGATACCAGAGGCTTCCGAGCCTAGAAGATAGGCAATCTTGACGGGGGAATCATAAGGTGGCTGTGAGCGAAATGTTATGAAGGATTGGCATGAAGTTTCAGGACCATTGCAGAGATAGCCTTTTGATATAGAATGGTTTTCTTCGCACTCTAATTGTGTGTTGTTCAGGTAACTTTGCTGGCAGTTTGAAGGATTGAAAAATGGAGATAGCAAGAGGAAGATCGAGAAGAGGAAGCTCAAGGATGAATATGGATCCATGGATTTGAGTCTTCTTGAACAGAGTAATTTGAAAAAAAAAATATCTTCCAAATTGGATATGTCTTCGCATGGTCAATCATACGAAGGATAAATTCATTTGGTAAGTGTTATGGTTATATATAGTTATTCTCTCTCTCGTGACGTTTTACAATTTTTTTTTTTTTTTTTTTTTTTAAGATTTTTATGTAGGAAATCTGTCTAAAATTTGTCTTTTAATAGATTTCTTATTTGTTGATGCTCGTTTTCGGCACCAACCAATTGTCACGTGGGTGACACTATTTGATGAATTTAATGCACGTAACAATAGATGTGTCAAGTGAAATAAATGAAAAGAGGTTTTTAAAGTGGTTCGGATGCTAAGGTAGCAAGTCCTACGTCCACTGATTTTGTATTGATGTTGGTGTGGGTCAGGTCGCGAAGCGGACTGACGTACATAAGAGTTAATAAAAGAAATATGTTTTTGCTTTTACAAGAGAGAGAGAGTTGTTTTTTTGTAATGAATGGCCGAATCCCCCTAATGAAGAGGTCTTCTTCATTTTTATATCAAATTGAAGCGTGTAATCATCATTAAATCTATGGGTTGGTGTGACTGTCAGGATATGATCCGACTTCACGTCCCGTTTCCCTTTTTCCAAGCTGACTTTGCACGACTTGCTGCAGAGAAATGGACGCGTGTGAGCTCCATGTTCATTTGCAGGTCTGACGTGCGCACATTGTCCTGACGGGGGCAGGTTACTCCTGACGTGACTTTCCCACGTCAGCCCTTTATTTTCCCGTGCATAACATTATTATAGGAATGCTAGTCCAAAATTTAAAAAAGGTATTTGAGATTCTCATGATACTATCATATAGAATAATATGTTTTTTAAAATATAAAATTTGAGATCCTCATAATGTGAAATTTTACTCCAAATAATAATTGAATTTTGTTTTGCTAATTGTCTAGGCTAAAATGGACTAATGTCTTCTTGTACTTACTTTACTATACAGATCAGACCCATTCCAATCTTAATCTTAAGAAAATATATAAAACATTAGTTTTTTATTAATTTTTTTCTCATCTTATTCCAAAAAGTCATATAAAAGGACAATGAAAATTTGAAATTAAGAATCCCTTCTCAATACGTTTGACAGTGACTTTTTGAGGTTGGTGTTGATTTCAATAAAATGCAGTTTGACTGTATTGAATAATCTGTGACTTCTGAAAGTACACGCAGTTGATTTCAAAATAGATTATATATGCCAGCCTCCAACCTTGACTAGCAGAAATCAACACAGATTATTTCAAAGTTCAAACCACGATTCTGAAATTCTTAAAAATAGACTCGGAAGAAGCTGCATGGGTAGTGGCATTTTGTTTCCGGGAAGTTTACACAGACAACCATAAGGTTTAGTGAAAGTGAGAAGCTAAGTTGCACTACTTTACACATTTTACCTTCAAATCAACATATCTCGGTTCACATTGGGATAATATTAGGCCGCAAATCACCAGGTTTTAACTTTAAAGAGAGAAATTCAAAAGAAAATAATGTAAAATATGGAAAAAGTAAATAAGTGAAGTGAAATCTAGAAACATTAATTCAAGTTAAAACAAAAAGCCCAACCAAATTAATGATTTTTTGTTTTCCTAGTGGACTTACCTATTAAATATGGTATATACTTCTCATAGTCCAATGTCTAATTGGGTTTAGAATTAGTTTACTAATATTTAAATTTAAATCGGGTTAGATTTGGGAAAGTTCAAATGAGGTTAGGTTTTCTATTATATATTTTCTATAACAGTGAGAAACCTAATATGAGAAAAAGAATAGAAAGTGAGAGTGAGCTACTATTGTAATTACTGTAAAGTTTTAATATTCAACAAAAATTCTCTATTTGAATGTTGAACATAATTCCTTAATTGGAACAAACCAGGAAAAATCTCCTAATTCTGTTATTATTTTATATGTTGTGCAGTAAACGTCTCCAGCCCGGGATCAACTAAGAAGCTCGAAATACACCCCTTTCCAAGTTATACATTAAGCTTGGGGATAGAGACGAATCAAGGAAACGCGAACGATCAGTAAGCGTATAGGAGCTTGACATTTGGCAAAGGCAGGAAAAGGGACCTGCCATGTGAAAACATCCTTTCACTCGGCTAAATCACTTTACCACGTATAAACTGCTTATCCCAATCGACGGCACGCAGTGAAGCAAACTCCATGTGCCTTTCATGTAGCTAAGCTAAAAGAAAACCTGTAAAGGTGCCCGCTATCAGAGGGAACGCTATCATTCTCTACGACATAGGGGCGTGTGAGCCTCTAGTCACCAATTAACTCATGACGACTCGGCTGACATGCCTGCCATCATGATACCCCCAAGGTTCCATATAAGTACAAAAGACAACCAAATAAGAAAGGGTTTGGGGATTAAAAGATAACGCCCACAAAAGAAAATATCCAATAAAGAGAGAACCATCTCGTGTAATTTGATTCATACTCATACACCTACATAAAGTATCAATGGACATACGCTTTGTTTATCTTCTAGTCTGAACCACTTTAAAAATACATTGTTCTCACATATCATTTTCTAGAAGGCACGCCATTGTCACGATCATCATCATGCATGGGTTAATCCATCTTCATTGATTCTCAAGAGCCACGCACCCATCTTACTCGATTTTTGCCTTGGTCAATCGATTATCTCTTGTTGATACGAATTCTAGTCTCGAAATTTTAGTCAGTATGGAATTTCGCATCAACATTTTGACGCTAGAAGAAGGGCCTCCAGCCTTGAAAGTTTCGATCCAAGCCCATTTCAATGCCAACTGCCACCGTTACCAATTGGTTCACCTGCCAAGCAAAGGTGCACAACTCNCATTTGAGAGGGTTCAGCTTCATTCTATAGAGTCGGAGTATGTCAAACATCTCAGCGAGATGCGAAATATGATCTGTGGCGACCTGGGATTTGACCAGCATGTCGTCCACATAGACCTCCATTGTCCTCCCGATCTGGTCGGAGAACATTCGGTTGACCAACCTCTGGTAGGTCGCACCTGCATTCTTGAGGCCGAAGGGCATGACTTTGAAGCAGTATAGCCCCCGGTCCGTGATAAAGGTCGTATGCTCCTCGTCTGGCTTATACATCGGGATTTGGTTGTATCCCGAATACGCATCCATGAAGCTTAACAGCTCATGCCCCGAGGTGGCGTCAACGAGCTAATCGATTCTTGGGAGGGGGAAGCTGTCTTTCGGGCAAGCCTTATTCAGGTCGCTGAAGTCTACGCAGGTCCGCCACTTGCCATTTGGCTTCTTGACCAGGACCGGGTTAGCAACCCAGGTCGGGTAGAGAGCCTCGCAAATAGACCCATTGCGGAGAAGGTTCTCCACTTCTGATTTTAATGCGGCGTACCGCTCCGGATCCATTGCTCTTCTCTTCTGGCGAACTGGCTTAGCTTCACTGCTGACGTTCAGTGAGTGGCAAATAACGTTCGGGCTGATCCCGACCATGTCTGCATGCGACCAGGCGAACACATCAATGTTCTCCTTCAAGAAGCTTACTAGCTCGGAGGCGAGCTGAGGGTTGAGACAGCTTCCGATCTTTAGCGCTCAGCTCGGCTCTTTTGGATCAACCGAAACCTCGGACAGATCCTCAACCGGGCCGCTCGGGGGGATTTCCTGAACTCGCGGATCTATGTTATCCTCTGCCGGACCAGGCTGCGGCTCGGTCCGGCTGATCGCCATAGCATGGCGGGGTGCACATCGCGTAACGCCCTTTCCTTTGTCGGCCATCTGGACCGATTTTACATAGCATTCACGAGATGCGCTCTGCGATCCGCTTACCTCCCCTATCCCCGTTGGAGTGGGGAACTTCATTTTCTCAAGGAGAAAGAGGGGGGGGGGGGTTTTTTCCACATGCACTTTTCACATCCGTAGTTGTATAACAAGAGGAACTTTAAAGGCACTTGCAAATATCTGCAAGCAATGTTACACATGACATAAGTCAGAAGCAAAAATAAAAACAGAGACTGCAGAGTTGGTTCAGATAAAAAGATAATAGATTCCCTTGTGGGTGTAGCACAGAAAAAAAGAAAAAAAAAAAAAGAAAAAAGAAAACCTAAAGTAAAGTAGACAATTAAAAGGGCTTCACAAGTTCAATCCCTTCTGATTAGCCATAACAAGTACAAATAACAAGATTTTAAAACATCATCAATGTACACCGATTGTAGCTTTGCGGTCCCATTTTGTAGCAAAAACAAAAGCAGTTCTTATTCTTAAAAATTAAAACCACCAAAAGAAAAAAAGCCGCATTGAATATGTGTTTTTGAAGAATTACCAATAAAAATTCTGTAGTTATCTACATTCTCAAAAGCATTCGTTCGGTTGCACTGAAGATTCCAAAAAAACATCAATTCATTGATAGCATATCCAAATTCCATCTCAAAACAATTTTATAAATCACCGATTTTCCAACACAACACACTTAAATTCCATTCATCAGAACAACAAAATAGAAGCAATCACTTCACCACAAAATTCAATTAAACTAATTTCCTTAGTAAACACATTTGTGCTGAAGTTTAATTCAACGCATGAAAACTTTACTTACATTACTTCAATTTCCATCATTCAATAAAACAAACCATCAAATAATTATAAAAAATTCAAGAAATGAACTCACTTAGTAAACATAAACGGAACTAAATGCCCCAAATGCAAAGCTTCAGATGATGGCCCACGTCCGTATACAAATAAAAATTCTCTCCTCTTATACGCGTCCAGTATCTCACCAAAATCCCTGCTTGACACAAACCCATTTCACAAAATCACAAAAATCGACCCAGAAACAAATTACAGAAAGAATCACAAAAATGACTTCTGGGTCGAACCGGGGGCGAAAAAACGCCACGGCGCAGGAACACGTGGGCCGGGCGGCGCTGAGGCGTTGGACTCTGTCGATGGGAGTTGTCGAGCCTTTGGCAGCCGAATTGGTCGATGAGTTTGTCGTAATCAATTTTG